GGGAAACTGAGGACTGAATTTTACAGCCATTTGTACAAAGTCATGGAGCTACTGCTCTAATTATTTTTGCTTCCTTGGATCTTAACAGATAGCTCAATAATTGCATAGGATGCTTTGCCTCAGAAGGCTGAGAAGAACCCATGCTATGTCACTCTCTCACTTAGGGTCATGACTCGTTGGGCAAAAGGACCAATCTCCTACCCTCTGCTTCTATTTAAGGAATAAGAACTCCTTCCCTTCCCCTAGGGTCGAGCCCCCACACACCGGGCACCAGTTGCAAGGGTCGCCTTCACTGGCAGCCGAGAGACAAGCCACAGAGGACAAGAAGGCAGTTCAGCACAGCACAATTCAGTAGGCTGTGAGTCTGGCCGATTGATTTAGCTTAGGTGTATGTAAACACAGTCTAATCTGGTGAAAACTATCCTTGTGACGACTGACCCAGTCCCCAGAGCACAAGGAAGCATGCCCAAATCTCTCCGAGGAACAAAGGTAAATACAGGTCAGACATGACTACGTTGAAACTCTGTAAAGGACACGTGACACCTTTCATAAAAATAGATTCTGTAGATTGACTGAAAAAAAAAAACAGTTTATGACAATGGGTCTAAAGGAGGATCTATTGCCAGAAAGGCCCCAGCCACACAGGAATGCACAAAAGCCACCAGGCTAGAAAGCATGTCTGCTCCAGGCTTCTGGGAGGAAAAGGGGTTGTCATTCCTTCCCTTGAAGGAACAACCGTGTGTGCTTAACATCCCAGGTTCCCTTAGGGCACCCTTCTCAACCTTGCCAAGGCTGCAACCCTTTAATACGGTTCCTCATGTTGTGGCGAACCCCAACCATAAAATCATTTCTGTTGCTACTTCATAACTGTAATTTCGCTGCTGTAGTGAATCGTCACGGAACTATCTGTGCTTTCTGACGCTCTTAGAAGTTTCCCCGTGAAAGGGTCATTCAACCCCACCCACAAAGGGGTTCCGACCCACAGGTTGAGAACCGCCGCTTTAGTGCCTGTCTGTGCGCACAAAGATCTCTGAGCCCCTTACAGGGAAGGGCTGTCAAGAGGGCAGGCAAGATCCTCCAGAGCCCTGAAGTCCATTCCAAGGACATCAGCTTCTCTTCTGAACGAAATAGCAGAGGCTTTATCACAGAAGACCCGCCTGACCTGACCAACTTTGCCAGGGGATAATCTTGGCTGCTGTGCAGCAATTAGAACAAGTGTAGTGTAGACAGGAAAAGCAGTGATAAGTTAGGGCAGAGATCTTGAGAGATGGTCATGGCTCAGCCCAAAGCAGTAGCTAGGTCGGTAGGGATGGTTGAATTCTGAGTATGAGATTCTGACCACAAAGAGAACAGGATTTGCTTACCATCTACATGAGAGAAATGAATGGGGTCAAAGATATTTGGCCTAAAAATCTGGAATGACTGAGTTGCTGGGGGTGTTAAGACTACCTCACAGTTTCTGTTTCTTTAATTTCAGCTACTACTTTCTTATTTATTTTGCTATATCTGCTCTTCTTTCCTTAAAAGATTGGCTGACCAGGCAGGCACAGTGGTGCATGCTTGTAATCCCAGCACTTGGGGAGACAGAGACAGGCAGATCTCTGTGAGTTTGAGGCCAGCTTGGTCTACAAAGCAAGTCTAGGACCGCCAAAGCTACACAGAGAAACCCTATCTCAAAAAACAAACAAACAGCCCACCCCAAAATGGGTTATACCAAAGCAAATGCTCTTCTCAATATCACTTAAGATTATAAATCCCACCCCATCCCCTGAGATCATGTGTCACTGTATAGTTCTCACTGTCCTGGAACTCCCTCTGTAGACCAGGCTGGCCTCTAGTTCACAGAGATCTGCCTGCCTCTGCCTCCCAAGTGCTGGGCTTAATGGTGTGTTCCACCACACCTGCCTTAAAAGAAAAGTTTTAAAAGGTAAACAGTGGGAAGAAGCTATTTGATTGGAAAGGCTTAAGTCCTTAGCTGGAAGTGAAGGGGCTGCTTCTGGTTGGCCAAGCCTGTTTTGTTTCCAGTTCTCCGCTTGCTGCGCTGAGTTTCCATTTGCTGACTTGGGAACTCAAGATGCCTTGGTCTAATGGCCGCCTCGTACGTCAAGTCCACACTGTAAGTGCGGCAGTAGCTACTCTATACAAATCTTAACCCCATTTTGATTTTTAATATTCTTCCTTTTCTGTTTTTATATTTAGTTTCACTACAATTTGTGTTTTTATATTCTTTGCATTCCGTTGAGATTATTCTTTAGCAGGCACATTGCTTAAGAGTGTTTTATTCTTCCCATGTATTTTAAAATGTGTTTTGTTGTTGGTTTCTAATTTTGGCATTTATTTAGATGATGTTGTCTGAGTGATACTACTGATCCTTTGATGATGGGGGAGAGGGGTTATATTAGTCAGTTTTTTTTATTTACACAACAAAATACCTGATACAAATAACTTTAGAAGAAGTGAGTGTTATTTGGTTCAAGTTTAGTTGTTTTGGAAGCGCAAGTCCAAGACCACGCAGCCCCACTGGGTTGGCCTCTTCTTCGGAAAAGATGCTATGATGGAAGCATATGGGAGGAAAATGTCATATACTGGGCCTTAAATTAAGAGCTGAGGTCCTACATCAGCTTCTAGGACATGCATCCGGCAGGCCAGGTCCTCACATTTTCTTTTTCAGCCTTGCAGATCAAAACTAGGCCTCGTACAAGTGCTCCACACTGCGCTACCCTCCCAGTCCTTTGTTTCTTGAGCTAGGGTTTCATTACTGAGCTCAGGCTGCCCTGGAGTTTGCTACAGAGCCCAGTCTGACCCCAGGACCACGATCTTTCCCTCTGCTTCCCGAATGGTGGAATTAAGTGTCTGTCACCACACTCGGGGCAGGGGCTCCACTCCTTAAAAACCCACTGTACCCCTCAGTGCTGCCATCTTGGGGACATAGTAGATTTGGAGGGGATACCACAACTCTACTCAAGCCAGAGACTCACTAAGGGGACATACCGTGCTCCTTTGAGAGGATTTAGTTCTGCCAAGGTGGTGACACACATCTAATCCTAAGGTTCCGGGAAGCTGAGGCAGGAAGATGGTGAGTTTGAGGCTAATGTGGAGCCCTGTAAGAAGATCCCGTCTTTAAAAAATCTTGGGGCTGGGGCTCTAGCTCAGTGGTAGAGTACTTGCCTCGCATTACCCTAGGATCAATATCCAGTACTACTAAAACAAACAAACAAACAAACAAACAAACAACAACAAAACTGGGTGGGGGAAGAAAGTACCCCAAAATTAAAATTAATTAATGGCAAAAGCTAGAAAAGGCAGATTAAGTAGAATGGACAGCCATCTTTTTTTTTTTTTTTTTTTTTTTTTTTTTTTTTTAACTCCACTGTGGGAGCTCAGATTGTAGACTGAGGAAGTTGCTGCACTCAGAATGAGCTTGGTCCCAAGGACGTGTGTATCTGGAAAGGCCACACCAGGGCTCAACCTCAGCAAAGCGGTGATGCTGTGTGGAGGATTCACTGTGGCTGGGTTCCCAGGATCCACTAACAGTACTTCCACACCCCAGGGCACCTTAGGTCCATACTTGTGCTGTGTGTGTGTCCCAGTTACTTCTGATAGCAGAATCTAAAGGTACTGTCATCATTACAGAAAGGGTCTCTGTGTAGACAAGTCTGTGATCTTTGTCCCATGGCGGTACTTCTAGGAGACTGTCGCAGTGCCATGGGTTGGGTCTGAATGCATCTTGCTCCAGTCTGTCCCCGTGAGAAGTTCTGGAAGCCAGGGACCACAGCTCCTCATCACACAGGGATGCTCAGAGTTTTATGTTGTCTCTTTTCTGTTTGATGCTGTCAAAAGTCCTTTGGCTTTGACTAAAAGTATCCAGTGCATTGGAGTATATTGTATCTAAAGAGTATACTGTAAAGCATTTTCTGTAGGTGTCATTTGGGAAGGCTCCTCACAGTGTCAAACAGGGTAGGCTCCTTTTGAGGTTCGTGAGGGACCCTATCCCAGCCCTCTTCCTTTGATTTCTTCTTGTGCCACTTCTCATCATCTTTCCTATTTTTTTCTTTCAAAACTTCTCCTTTCATAAGGACACCAACCACATTGTATTAAAGTCTCATTGTAATTTAATTAGCATTGTGAAAGTCCCCTTGCTAAATATAGCCACATTCTGAGACATGGGCTCATAGGACTTCAGGGTATGACTTTGGGGAAGGGACTTGTACTAGCTATTTTTTTTTTCCTCATCTCTATGAGAACATAACTGACAGAGGCAACATAAGAGAAGGATTTGATTTAGCTGAGGTTTAAAAAGAGATGCAGCCGGGCGCCGTGGCGCATACCTTTAATCCCAGCACGCAGAGGGGCAGAAGCAGGCAGATAGCTGTGAGTTCGAGGCCAGCCTGGTCTACAAATCCAGGACAGCCAAGGCTACACAGAGAAACCTGATTAAAAAAAAAAAAAAAAGTATACAATGCAGTATGGTGGGAAGGCATAGCAGCGGGGCATAAGGTGACAATCACATTGTGGCTCTGGCCACACCACAATTATAGTCAGGAAATTGGGAGAGATGAACACGGGTGCTCATCTGGCCTTCCCTGTTTCCCATCATCATGTGGTCCGGGATCCTGGTCTGTGGGATGGTGGAACCCACTTTCAGGGTGGATTCTCCGTCCTCAGCGAAGCCTCTCTGAAAACACCTTAAAGTCACACCCAGAAAGCGTGTCTCCTACAAGATTCTAAATCCAGTTGAGTAGCTTCACTCGGGCCCACAACAGCCGTCTCATCATGGTCTTGAGCTTGCTCTACCTGAACAATATACATATTCGTCTCTGCTGTTTCACTCTTAGGCATGAAAATTATGCACAGATTTTTGCTCACAGAAATGGTGCAATGATTAATGATGCCAACCCACAGCACGACAGTTCCTGTTCCTTTCTTCCTTCCAGGACGTCATCCTTCTAGAAGGAGCTGACCTCCTTCTGAACGTTCTTGTTTTGCATTGTTTCCTCCAGGGAACGTAGCTCCTGCCTCCCAGCCAAACTGCACTGACTTCCAGAATGCCAGGCTTCTCCGGGGCACCAACCTCAAAGTCCAGTTTCTCCTCTTTACCCCTTGTAACCCCAGCTGTGGACAGCTGGTAGAAGAAAGCAGTGACATCCAAAACTCTGAGTTCAATGCCAGCCTGGGAACCAAACTGATTATTCATGGATTCAGGTGAGAGCTAAGCAGCCGGTGGGATCCTCTCAGCTAAGAACCAGAGAGACCATAATGCCATGGGAAGAGAGTGGGGAGCAGGAGGAGGCACAGATTTGCTGACCATCGCATGTTCCGTCACTAACGTCCTTGGATATGCCTCATGTCAACTCTGCATATACTCTTGCTGGACATACAGTCAGCCTCTGCTCACCCTTTATGACCCTGGATAAGCCGCTCCAGTTTTCATATCTGGATTAAAGAGGAAGGTGTAGGAATCAACTCAGTGGTTCTTGGGCAAAAAGCATATGCTCTTATCCCCGAAGTGTGGTTGTACAGCATGATTCATCTTGAGCAATGACGTCACAGGTTTTACGCAGTCACTGGGGATAATAACATGGTACTTTTTGCCCAGGGTTTTATTTCCCCTTTTTTTTTTCCTGTATTTTTTTTTCCATGATTTTAGGACTTGAGGAAGTTTTGTTGATGGTACTGCCTCCATCATGCCCAGAGGTTAGCATTTCTCAAGGGTTTGACAGCTCTGCCGTTTCTACCATCTGATTCAATCACTACCCTTCCTTCAAACATCTCCCCCCCCCCAAAGCCCACTGACAAGACAAAAGACAGAGAAAGTCTCTGAGAGGAGAGAGGCAGAGTGGCTACAGGGCGTATAGAACTAGGGCGCTGATTGAAGAGATGTGCCCACTACTTCACGCCTGGCCTCTCTCTGCTCCAGGGGCCCAGCTCCACCTGCCCTTCACTGTCACTCTTGATTCTCTCTCCAACACATTTCTTTGGCAGCCTTGTATTTAGCTATTATCCCAGGCAGAGTACGCACCTCCCGCCCAGGGACAGCTGATGGAACCAGTTAGTGTTCATTACGCAGCTCTGCTATTAAGCCTCAGGGATCATGTGCTCTACCTGTCCTCCTGTCTCCTGGTGGGCATGCTCAAGGTGTCCCACAGCAGGGAGCTGGAACGTCTTTCCACACTGTTGGGAGAGCTTTCTGAACTGTTCCCGTCATTATCCTGCTGGAAAAGTCTCATACCAAAGTTGTAGAAGGACAGGGACTTGTCTTTAGATCTTGGAAATCACCCAGCATACCCTTAGGCCCACAGGTACTCAATAAACATGTTGTGAATGAATGCCAGGACATATGAATGAAAGCCTCTGGAATGAAAGAACCTGTACTTTAAAATGAGGATTCAGGCCACAGGTTTTAAAGAGAAGGTATAGAGCTGTCTTTCGAATAGTCAAGAGGCAACAGTACCGATGGTCTACAGAGCTTTGCACAAAGGGGCAGACTGGAGGAAGGTGTGGCTGGAATCTGCCTTATGTTCTGAGCTTCACGTGGAACAAGAGCCACTTTCAAATAATTTACATGAAGGGTCCGAGTGTGCTGGCAACGCTGGGAGCATATTTTCTCTCATCTCAAGGCACTGTGTAACTGGCTGTCTTGACTTCTCTAGCTTGGGGACCAATTGAGGTTTCTATCAAAGGCTATCAGTTTGGCGAGTCATTTTCCTCTGTGTTTTTACTCACGTCTAGGGCGTTAGGAACAAAGCCTTCTTGGATCGACAAGTTCATTAGAGTGCTCCTGCAGGCAGCAGATGCTAACGTGATTGCAGTGGACTGGGTTTACGGTTCTACAGGTGTCTATTTCTCAGCTGTGGAGAACGTGGTCAAGCTGAGCTTGGAGATCTCCCGTTTCCTCAGCAGATTGTTGGTAGGTCTGGGAAGGTTCAGGTTTGTTCTGGCCATTTGTACAGAAAAGGGCAGCCTGGAAGAAAAAGATTTCCCTTGAGATTTAGGGCAGAAGCAGAGCCACCCAGGGAGCTGGTGGGTGGTTAGATAGATCTGGAGCTGGGTTCTTGTGGGTGCTGACAGGCAGGGCACTGAGCCTTCCCAGGGCCCCCAGGCCTCTGTAAAACATGTCACTGCACAAAAATGGCAAATGCTGACCATGAAAAAATTTAGTAGTACCGCTAAGGAAAGACGTGGTCACTCCATACTTTGAAGTGAGCTCTAAAAGAAGAACAGGGAACAATGGATGGAAGGTCTGCCCTTGTTCTGAAGCATGTAGGTAGGTGGGTGGTGCCAAGGCCTTTGGTGATGGGAACCTTGGGAAAACCACTGCAACCCAAGTGGAATCCATTGTCTACCATCGCCCATTCCAGGAGCTGGGTGTGCCAGAGTCCTCAATCCACATCATTGGCGTTAGCCTGGGGGCTCATGTCGCAGGCATGGTGGGGCATTTCTACAAAGGCCAGTTGGGACGGATTACAGGTAAGGAAAAAAATGCTTCTCTACCTTCCCTCTCAGTGATTAGAGACAGACAGAGATTGCTTCAGAGACTCCTCTGAAGAGTGCAGATGGGAAGTTGAGGCAGCATCCTTATGATCAAGTCATTGTTGCTACTGCAATGATCTCTATTGTTGGCATAGAATAGCGCCATTATCCTATGATCTCCAATGTCAATGTAAGAGCGTACGGTATTTGCTCCCGAACCTCAGTGCCTACATTTGTAAAATGGGTGGAAGAATGCTGTCATTGGGATTTGGTGTGGAAATCTCCCTCAGACAGAGAGTTAATCCCCTGCAGAGATGGAGGATGCTATTTGCCAGTCTTCACGCTCAGTCAGTAAGGACGGGGGCTGCCTGGTAAATACCCGACATTCTTGGTCCTTCAGTTGGACAAGTTTGAATCATGTCTCACAGAATGGTCCAGAGAGGCCCTATGGGATGAGAGCAGTTTCACTGTTTTTGCCAGATTGGTGGTGTTGTTAAGTTCATTTTAAAGGCAGAAAACTGGGCCTCTGAGAGAGCACCATGACAGACAACCCACCATGGGTTTCCTGGGTAATGTGGTCCTGGGCTGGTTCTTCCAACCCTTGATCCTAGATGGATGATGGGCTTAACTGGAGAGAGTGCTGGGGAAGACCTAGTGTTTCTGGGAGTTGAGAGGGAAGAGGATTCTGATATCAGTCTGTCCTGACAGGTCTGGATCCCGCTGGACCGGAGTACACCAGAGCCAGCCTGGAGGAGCGCTTGGATGCTGGAGACGCCCTCTTTGTAGAAGCCATCCACACAGACACTGACAGTGAGCTTGGGTGATGTGTCCGGGATGAGGGAGTGAGCATAGGTAAGGGCTTCGATGTTAGCACGGGAGCCCCTGTTCCTGGCAGAGTTACTGTTATACAGCAGGAGATTTATCAAAATGATTTTGAAGGTCTCTTCCAGCTCTGAGATCATTCTTTGGCTCTCATTGTCACTGTGACCAAGGAGATTAGTAGTTTTATTTTAAGCTACCTGTGGGCAAGAGAACTTTCACTCATGAACCAAAATGGTTTGTTTGGTAATCTCACTGATTCAAAACCAAACCCTGTGTTGATAGGTATGGGAAAATCATGCTGCTTTTTTTAGGCTGTGTGCGCCTGGCCCCTGATGACAGGGGGGCATTCCATTCTGCAGGCACACAGGCCAGTCAGGACTTCCCTTTTCCCCGGGGGACAAGCCCAGTCCATCCTAGGTGGAGAGAGAATCTCCCTTCCAATCATGACACACACAGGAAAGGTCACCTCAACTCTCATCCAGCTTGTCTTTCTGACCACCCGAGAAAGAAGGTAGACAACCATCCTTATTTCTACTTATGTCCCTGTAGTGTGTACCAAACACTGTGTTCAGAGTTACTGCAGCAAGACAAACAATATCTGTTCTAGACCAGAAGGGCTTATAATTCAAGGAAGAGAGACACCTGTGTCTCACGCCCTTAGGTCTAAAGCCTTCTTCTAGTAACCAAAGCTCACAAGGCGTGCAACTAGAAGAAGCCCATGCAGCGATATTGTCCAAGCACTGTTCCTGCCTTCACCGCACAGATGCATAGCAAGGTCCTCCAAGCCCAGCTGTGTGAGGATAGTTTGCCTTGCTCGTGAGTAAGGAGAGTCGTTTACTTTAGAGGGATCACGTTTATGGAGACAGAAATGTGGTGGTGGCTGAGCGAGAGAGAATGAGGGAGGAGAAATGGGGAGTTGGGGCTTATATAGTTTTAGTTCGAGAGAGTGACACTTGTGCAATAAAGCGTGACACTGACTCCTCACTGTAAATGTAGACAAGAGAGACACTTAAAGATACTGAGCTGCCTACTTAAAAATTAAGATGGTAACTCTTCTTATGGTATTTCAGCATGATTTAGAAAGGAACCATTGTTTTCATCTATAAAACAAATTTTAAAAATGAAGTAGAAGTTTTCCACGCCCAAATTTACTAAATATATTTCATGTTAGATTCATAGTTACCTGACTTTGGGCTCTTTGGCTTTTTGAAGTCAGAGATCCCTCTTTTATGGGATCTGCTTCATCAGTCAATCTTTACTGAGCTAGGAAGCCAGTCCTGAGAATCTGACAATGGACAAGGGTATGTAGCTAGACAGCTGTTCATTTGTTCATTCAATAACGATTTATTAGTCACTCATCATGAGTCAGGTATTGTGGTAGGTGTCAAAGACCTACAAGAAAAACAACAACAACAACAAGAAAACAAAAGACAGGAAAGTACACAAGGCTTCATTAGAGGAAACAGATTACAGGTTGTCATTATCACATAGACATACACATATCACATGAGGACATCATTGCATGTTGAAAGGGTAGCTTCACGGGGTATCTTCAGAAGGGGTCTACTCTGATGGGATTATTGACAACCATCTATGTAGCAGGCAAGGCTCAGCAGAGGAGAATGAATTAGCCATGGGAGGGGCTAGAAGAAGATTCTAGGTGGGGACGATGGACAAAGAAAGGCCTAGGTATGGGCAAGTGCTTGACTTGTTATTGATCTTATTGGCAAACCCAATCAGCTTGTAAACCGATCCTAGTGCACTTCCTCTCAGCACGGTTTGCCTTCTGTAGCTGCACAACCCGTTGCAATGAGAAGGACACCGACTCCCAACGACCGCGATGTGGGGCTGGGAAAGTATGCTTCTGAAGCAGGAAGTTGACTGGGCTCTCCCTCTTTCAGATTTGGGTATCCGGATACCTGTTGGACATGTGGACTACTTCGTCAATGGAGGCCAAGACCAGCCTGGGTGTCCCACGTTCTTTCATGCAGGTCAGCAAGCCGGGGAAAGGTAGCATTGTGGGGCAGGTGCTCCCCAAATTAAAATTCACCACGTCTTCACCCTGAGCAGCCAACATGGGCCACATAGGGCCTTTCCAATGATGCCCTTAGCACATGCTAGCTTAGCACACACTAGCTGTCTTTGCACCATGAATTCCAGAGAGTTCTCTCTAATAATGGAAGCCAGCCTCACGTTTGTGCCGTCATCCCGGTTTATGTTAGGCCCGGTCATGACTTAACATTGCTCAGGCCAGTAAGACTGGATCTATGGCCCACAATAGCTGCATTCTCTCCAGAAGGTAGCTGTGGCAGAAGCAGACCATCGGAGCTACATGGCCAAAGGATCGCTTCACCCAGTACCTTATGCGTGCAGAGATCTGCCTGCCTCTGCCTCTTGAGTGCTGGGGTTAAAGGTTGCTATACCCAGCGTCCAAAATTATCTTAAAGATGGTTTTTAACCACATTTTTTCCTAAATACATTCTTCTGGAATTCTCTTTTTGCAAGTATTTAACATATGTTTTAAGTTATAAATGTATTTAAATAAAAAGTATATTTAATATCTGCTTTAAATAAGCTTAAATCTATTTTTTTTTAAAAAAAAAACCTAAGCACCAAAGATTGTTCAGCCATATAGCCTTGTGACTAAAATGAATACATTGACACTTTGTTGGGAAATATTAAGTACTGCTAATTTCTGTGTGTTTGTGGGATTCTCTTGTTTAACCAAATTCTCAATATCTTAAGATTTTTGTTTTGTTTGCTTTTTAAGGCAGTATCTCATGCTGTAGCTCGAGCTGATCTCAAACTCCAGGCTGTCCTCCTGCCTCAGCCTCCTGAGGATTCCAGATGTGTGCCATCACACCTGGCTCCATCTAATGATTCATTTAACATTTTTATCAAATGAGTACTATTATTATTATTATTATTATTATTATTATTATTATTATTATTTGCTAGATTTACTGTTTTTTCAAAACATGCCTCTTGGAAACCTTAGCACTTCTGATCAGGAGGAGGAGTTTGGTTTCAATGGCTGTAGAAACTCTCGGGGGCATTTTAGTTAGATACTTTGCACTTCTTCATAATGCAGTTCGAGAAGAGGCTGCTGCTCTCTGCTCCAGTTTCTGTTGATGCTAAAAAGAGCTCGGCAGTAGAGAACATCCTGACCATAAGAGAAAAGAAAGTGAACACAGTTTGTCCTTAACTGTCAGGCTAAGAGAGTCCTGTGGTGTAGGGGGAGTCAGACAAGCCCAAGAGCCTACAGTTGTGGCTCCTTACGTGCTAGCTCCAGCCTTATGTGGGTTGCAACATACATGTGAGTGTGTGTGTGTGTGTGTGTACTGCTGGCAACTTTTAAATAGTAAATAACCACAATAAAATACCATCAAGTTGGGGTAATTGGGACACTTGGAAAGTTCTTTAGACCAGTTATTGGGCTAGGTGAGTTACAGCGTACATGGTTAAAGAGACGGATCTTGAGCAGCAGCTGATGCTCTGGACCAGTGGTCTCAACCTGTGCGTCGCAACCCCTTTAGGGGGTGTCAAATGACCCTTCCACAAGGGTCGTCTAAGACCATTGGAAAACACAAACGTTTATGTTATGCCTCATAACAGTAGCAAAATTACATAACGATGTAGCAACAAAAACCATCTGGGCGTCACCACTACCTGCTGAACTGTATTAAATGGTCGCAGTACTAGGAAGGCCGAGAACAGCAGCTCTAGACTATCTCTCTGCTGGGTGGGAAAACGGTTTTGTGGGTGGCGACGAGGAGAGACAACCATCTTAGCTGTACGGGTGGTAGGTACCCTGAGCTCTGTGTGCCTCCACTTTACCAGAGACTTTGCCTGATGGCGTAAGAATCGATCTCACACCACAGGCTTAGCTTCTACAGCTCGGGAGAATTAATGGGGAAAGAGAGACTGCGGTAACGGGCCTGTTAATATTTCTAAAGCGTGGCCCGTCTATTCATAGGCTGCTGTGGTGTAAAGCTCAGGAGGGCTATAGAAAGCAGCAGGGAGGGGGTTTCCGCCGGTCTTGACTGGAACCCCTGCTGTGGCTCTTGTCTCCTCTCAGGTTACAGTTACCTGATCTGTGATCACATGAGGGCTGTGCATCTCTACGTCAGTGCCCTGGAGAACGCCTGCCCGCTGACGGCCTTTCCCTGTGCCAGCTACAAGGCTTTCCTTGCAGGAGACTGTCTGGATTGTTTTAACCCTTTCCTGCTCTCCTGCCCGAGGATAGGTGAGGCCTCACTCCTTTGGCTTCCCTTGGTAATGTCGGGAAGTTTGAGTACTAACCGCTTTTGGTCACCTGTTTTGCTTTTAAAATAGTTTTAAATTTAAAATAGTATTAAATTGCCTAATTTTTTTCTGGCATGTCACATATGAGTGCTGTTCCATCCCTTCCTTTCCCCTCTCCAAAGGTTCCTGTTCCCCCTCCTTCTTTAGTGCTACTCTTGTGTACATGTGTGCAGGGTTGACCGCTTGGGATCTGACAACCTATGAGGGAGCTCATCCTTAGAGAAGGCTGATTCTCTTCCTCGGCAGCCATTGGTGGATTGCTTGTAGCTCTTTATCTGGGGGTGGGACCTTGTGAGATTTCCCCTCTTGGTGTGCCAATGACTGCAGTGATGGTACAAGTCTTGTTTAGACAACCACACTGTCAGAGCACCTCTGACCTATGGCCAAGAGCCTAGCGGTCTGGGAAAAGGAAGTTAACCCATGAGGTGCTCAGCCTGCTCTCACTTGGAAGATGGCAGTTGGTGCTTGCTGTCCCACCTTTTATGCGCTCCCTGCTGGCGAGCTTGCTCCGTGTGTGTTGCGTTGTAGGGATTCCCCATTGCTGCAGGAAGCTCCTCTTTAGAAGTGGGAGCTTGCAGTGGCCACATGACATCTGGATTAGGGGAAATGACTCATTGCTGGTCAGCTCAATTATGTTTCTCCATGATCCAGGCCAGTGTGGGGAAAGGATTCTAGGAAAGCTGAGAGAACACGGCATATCCTAGGACAAAAACTCTAGGGGAAAAAAAATCGCTCTCTCCTGTTTCCACAGTTCTGCATTCCCCACCATGCCTGGATATGACTTGAAATACAGCAGCTTGCCAGTGCTTGTATGGTGACATGGTACTGGCCTGACAGAATGAGAAAGGCAGATGGAACCCCATAACAGCATACAGAGGCATTGTGTCCTCTTCCTGGACGAATGTCTGGCTTCCCTTCGGAGGTCATGGGTCACGTGGCTTTTCACAGCCACTTCCCACTGTCTGCCCAGCTTCTCTCTCGGCTCTGCCTGACACTGAACCTTAAAGACACTGGCCACACACCCTTCTATGTTTAAGCCAAGGTTCTTCAGCCTGTGGGTTCTTGTCCTAACCCTGGTTTCATCCCCGAGCACACTCCGCCCAACTATCATCTTCGAATCTTCAGGACAAACATTCATTTCACTGTGTCCCCACCAACAGGATACGGGTGCTGTCAAAGTAACTATGATACGATATCTACTTTTGCAAATTAGACACAACGTTAGACACAAAACATTATGTTTCTTACAGTTGTCGACCAAGGATGAGTTCAAGTGAGGGCAGTGGAGATGGCTCAGCAGCCAGGCTCTTGCTGTCAAGCCAGAAAAGCATGTTTCATGTCCAGGACCCACATGGTAGGCTACCTACCACAAGCTGTTTTGACTTCCACGTGTGTATTGTAATGCCCAAGTGCCTCCTGGCTCCCCCTAGACCCACCCCTGCTAAACAAACAGATTTTAGAAGAAAAGAAGTGAATGTGTGAATTGACCTAAAAAATGCACTTCCTGTCGACTTCCATGTTCATACTGCTTTACCGAACTTTTTTTTTTTTTGGGGGGGGGGGCTCTTGGGGTCATCAAGAAGCCCGAGCCAGAGCACATGTATCTGTGGAACTCGAGGTACATAAGTGAGTCCACACCTGACTGGGGATTCTAGGTCCTAGAAATGGCCTCCTCGAAACTGGGCTGTCCTTCCCTCTTGATTTTCAGGACTGGTGGAACGAGGTGGTGTCAAAATTGAGCCTCTCCCCAAGGAAGTGAGAGTCTATCTCATGACTACGTCCCAGGCCCCATACTGTGGTGAGTAGGGAGGAGGCTGGGTTCCTGTGTGGGATGCATCTCGCCTGGGGTGGGAGCTCAGATAGGAAGGGATGGGTTTGGCGGGTGACCTGGGAGGCAGTCTCAGAACCAGAACTGCAAGGAAGAATCTAAGCAGGGCCGTTAAGAGCCATTAGGAGCATTTCTCTGCTTACGCACTCGCTCTCTCTATCTCCCCCTTGAAATTCGTGCCCAGCCAGATGTGGTGGAGCACACCTTTAGTCCTAGCACTCAGGATGGCAGAGACAGGCGAGTCTCTGAGTTCGAGGCCTGCCTGGTCTACAGAGTGAGTTCTGGAATGGCCAGAACTACACAAAGAAATTCTGTCTCAAAATGAAAGAGAGGGAGAGGGGGAGGGAGAGGAAGAAGGAGGGACAGTGGGAAAGATGGAAGAAAAAAGACAGAAAGAGAAAGAGAGTTTTTGCCCTGGGAGGCTTCTCTCTGGGGGACCCCTGACTCATGCCATTCTTCATACTTCTTTCCCCTCCTGGTGCCCACACCACAGAACTCTCACCCTAGTAGAGCCTCCTAGGTCAGAACCCTTGAGGAATTCATGACCTCTGCCACCTTCTCCTTTGCAGACACAATCCAGCTGTTCACAGATACTGCTCCCTACATTGCTTTGAAGCTAAGATGCCAAGGATGTGAAATGCAAATAGAAGCTAGTCTGGGAAGCCATGAAATACATTAGACACTAAGCCCATGCCCTTCCTGTGCTATTTATAGCTTCACCGGGGTGACTATTTCCTGGTTTGTGCTCACTGTCCTGGGCCCTCCCATCAGCCCCATGGCGTGCACAGGGCAAAAATATGCTAACTTAGATGATATATGATATTGTCACCTTAACATGAGCCGATTTTCTCATTAGCTTCTGTTGCATTAGTAGAGAGATCTTTGTGGCTACAGCCTCCTATTTCCTGGAAGGTCCCAGTGTAATGTGATTTAGTCCTCAGAACTCGGATTCTGTGGTCGCACAGACCTGGATTTGAATCTCAGGTTCTCTATTTTCCAGTTGAGTAATTAGAAGGAAGCCGCTTCACCTTTCTGAAACCCAATATCCTCCTGCGGGAAACGGAAACGGTCATAGCACTCACATGCAAGCACGCATTGTGAGCAAGAGATAGTGTAGAGGCAGACAGTGGCTCCAAGACTCAAAACCTGACACCCAACCGTTCCCTTTCCTTAGGCAGAGAATCTGAGACCCGGGCCGGGGTGTTTTGAGCTTTGTGGGTATGGCTACGCCTGAGAAACCAAGCGGTCTCAGTCAGTGGTGGGATTTTCATGAAGAGAGGTTCTGAGAGACATTACCTGAGGCACATAAATGGGTGAGGAAATCAGGATTTGACATCAGGTCCCCTGTCCCCTTTTCATGTCACCTTATGCCACCATGCTGCTCCATTCCCTGTTCCTTCTTCTTGTCACTCCCCTGGCAGCAGTGGTCATCAGAGGTTATCAGAAAGGCTATGGCGTGTGGTGGTGGAGGCTGGTGCTTCTGCGACCAGATGTCTCGGCCTCTCATTCCAGTCAGGGCAAGCTGGTAGCAACCCGATCAGGCTCCACTGTGTCTGTGCAGCTAAGAATACACAGGGTATGGAGGCCTGGAGGACATGGGAGGCTATGAGCTTTTTAAGGTTCCCTCTTAGGCAGAGTCCCAGAACCGTACATTTCTGGTTTCATGTTTATCTCAAAACCTCTCCCTTATGCCCCCAGAAACACGTTCCTGTCTGTTCAAACACCGCAGAGGGACACAGGAAATCAGCCAGTGAGAACACCCACTTGCCTTCAGACTCTGAGCCTTTCCTTCTAAGGACAGAATCAGGGTACCATCTTTCCCTAAGCCAAGTCTGACCTGTTAACTAAGCTCCAGTGTGGCCAGGGGCCAGCTCCAGCTCCCCAGACACTGCCAGGCCATCACGGCCCTGGACTCCTATACTCAGAACTCTTAGCCTCCTTCCACCTCAGCAGTGCTCTTGAGGACTATGGCCACCCTTGATTTCTGCCAGGCTGATCTTCTACCCAATAGTGATTTTAAAGATGGTATCAGCCATCCCTTGTAGAACAGTTCCTCATGTAGTGGCCTCTTGGTAGGACTTCAACAGCTCTTCACCACTGCCCTGTAAAGGGACTAAGAGGTTTGGTGATTTAGACGTGATGGCCCAGCTGATTAGCATCAGGGCCTGGCCTTAGATTTGAGCTTTCTGACCACTCACTCAGGGCTCAGTGTTCCTCTTTCTGAGTCACCTTCCTGTGCTGTTTTGAAATCACTACCAGTTCCTGTTCACCCCAGCATCAGTCCCAGCTCTCCTTGGGTTTCCAGGGCAGTGTAGAGAAAAGAGAAACAGAACCTTAAGAAAATGTCAGCACAAACATAGGAAGAGATGACATCCACCGAAGGTCAAACTCAACACAAGGAATTACATTCCTGAAGCTTTCAAAGTCAGCTAGCTTTTCCCTAGGTCACAAATATCCACTCTAGTTCAGGAACCTTGCCCATCCACAAAGCAGTTTACACCCTTTAGAAATAATCAACTGACAGACAGAAGGCCTGTGACACTGGATTTTTCTTCTTCTCTCTCTTTGGAGGGGACAAGATTGCAGGCTCTTTTGTCTCATGAATTCTTGGGGTGTTGGTGCTTGTCCGTGAGCCTGTCCCTAAGCCCAGGGGGATGAATCACATCCCTCCTCTAAGTTAAGCTTTGGTATCCACTGGCTACTTCCCCAAGAGTCAGATGGAAAAGTACAGGTAGAGGAGGAATAAAGAATTATGTCTCTAACTATGTACCCATCATGAAAGGAGACGAGGGAGAAATGATGGAGGACAAAGTGACTGCAAAATGCTACCAGAGACTCCCTACCCCTAAATAAAGAGAGATTTGTTAGTAACACTGTAATCCTGACAGTCATGAGGTCCTTATTTCTTCAGGTCACCGTAAGCCCAGATGGTCACCTTGTCTGTGTTGGTGACACCCACCTTGAGAGCCCTAGCGTCTATACTGCTCAAGGGAGGCTCATTGTAATGGATGGCCATCTCAGCTCCTGACACCGTACATGGAGAGGGGAAGAGGGGTATTGCTCTTCCTTAAATGAGTTGTTTATTTAGTATAGGTCCCTGTCGGTTTGTGCTGTTGTAACAAAATATTCGAGACAGGGTAATTGGCAAAGAACAGAAGCCTGTTTTCTCAGCCTTCTGGAGACTGGAAAGTCCAACATCAAGATGCTGGTATTTGGTGTCTGAGGTGACCGCTCTCTTTGCTTCCGGGATGGCATCTCGTGGCTGTCACTGAGTTGCTTTCCATAACAGAAGACAGAAGGACTAAAAAGTCACTAGCTAGGTCCTTCCTTCTGTTTTAAGGGCTGCTCTCCTCAGGAAGACCCAGGCTCACAATGAACCTGATTGGTTAGCTCAGCATACCAGCAAGATCTGCCTGTCTCTCCCCTCCCCACCAGGAGTGGTGTTTCTGACAAGAGCTGCCACACTCAGCTTTTCCCACGGGTGCTGGGGATCCAAGGTCTGCTTTCACGTGTCTCCGCAGGGACAGAGATTAAATGTGACTTTTGGAGGGCTACAGATATCCAGACAGCAGCCATCTATGCTGAATCCTCTTTGATACTCTCACGATTACGTCACTGCCATCGAGATGGGTTGGTGGGTGAACATGACTATTCCCAAGCCTGATGACCTAAGTTTATGCACAGATGGAGGAAGGGGAAAACCGATGATGGCAGCCGGGTCTGATCCCCAACTGTACCACCTGGGACACATTAAGTAAATTAAAACGTAATCATATAGACGTTACCTCACCACAATAAGGTCACCAGACAGGGAAGAGTAGACAACTCTTGCATTACAAGCAATAATAGAAACTCACCCTATCTGACCATTTCCTAGGCAAGGGCACTATGCCCGGGACTTTGCACGCACTGATCCAGTCAGGCCTCAATCCAGCCTGTGGGATATCTATTTGATTAGCCCAGCTTACACTTGAGAAAGCACCAGAGACGAGCTAATAAGTAATCTATGCCTCCCGCCATGCTGCTGCTCTATGGGGCTTTCGTATTTGGCACCTGTGCCACCTGCCAAGCCCCTGTTGTCCTTTGGTTTCTTAGTGCATCACAGCCTCGTGGAGTTTCATCTAAAGGAGAAGAGAAAAAAGGATACCAGCATTGAGGTCACCTTTCTTAGCAACAATATTACTTCCTCGGCCAAGATCACCGTGTACGTGAGTGGCCCAAATGGCTAAGCCCCTCTTTCGTGTGTCTTCATGCTCCAGGTCAGACACGGGGTGATTGCTAAAGGCTGGGCCTAGCCCGCCACGCTGGGGTCAGTTTCCACTCTAGGTCTACTCACAGATACAAGCTGCAGGTTTGAGATCACCACCCTCAGCACGGTGTGTTTGGATGCCAGCAAGCAAGGCGCCAAAGGGAATTAGCACATCGTAAGCCAGTTCTGAGTAGGAAGCAGTGCTTAGCGATCCAGGCTGATGCAGAAGAGCCCCCAAAAGGGACGTTCAGAGCAAACTAATTACATTGGGAAAGCTGTTGGGGGTTGGGGGAGGGGTAGGAGGCAAAGGAGGGTTACCATGGTAAGGGCAAACTGGCAAAGCTAAGAGATTGACTCCCATGGAACCTAATCACAGCACAGGCTACTGGGCAGAACCTGGAACCCCACAGGAAGTGTAACCTCTCCGCAAGCCCCGCCCCACCCCACCCAGAGGCCCTCAGACACCAACACCCGCTTCCCTGGGACAGCCCTTGCCAGAATCTGCCGACAAAGTAGCTACACACAGAGATTTGCAGGAGAAGTGAACTGAATGCAAATGGGGAAATGACCGGTATACACTCCTGTAAACATTCCCTGGCCCACTGTAGCGAGCTGTGAGAGCACAGAGACAGCACCTGAGTAGGTGTGAGGATGTGACAGGGGGAGCAAAGACTTCGCAGGAGTGAGCTCAGCAACGGGTTAGTGAGAAAAGGACATAGGGGTCCCTGGGAGAGAAAGCTGAGGAGGGGGATGTGAGAGAGGACAAGGCTGGAGAAACAGCTCGAGTTTGGAAAGAGAAACCAGAGATTGCGGTCTCTGGCCCGAAAGAAGCTTGGGGAGTCCATGGGGCGCGTTAAAAAGGAGAGTGACCACTTCGGCTCTGGGTGGGGGATGTCACGAGGCTGCCCTGATGAACTGCGCTAGGAGGAAAGACAAGTTCCACAACACAGAGGGTATTCCTCCTGAGCTCTCGGACATCCCGTCACTGGGCAGTGCCCTGTCTGCAAATACTGGCCCCTCCGGGTCATGAAGCCACATGAATCTGCAGTTGGGGACTGTGGTGGACTAACTAGTCAGCTGGGGACTTTCTACAGTATCTGCTCACAGCCGCGTGCTGGCAGAAGGGCTTTTCCTTGTTTCTGCAGCCAGTCAGTAGGTCAGTGGGTACCAATGGGGATCATGGCACTGGCACACTGGGTCTTCTAGAGACTTGAAACTGCTGCTCCTGCCCACCAGTCACTGGGGACGCTGGATACAAGCCAAAGCTGAAGCTTTCAGAGCGGCTCAGTGGACCTCACAGGGGGCTAGCGGTCACTCCCAACAGAGGACGCATGACTCGAAGAAAGGCACAAAGTGCGTTAGCTTTTTAAACTTCGCTTAGTTGTTTTCATTAAAAAAAAAAAAAAATCAGAAATTAGAAGGATGATTGCTGGGGAGAAGTGTGTTCTTTCCCCACTTTCTACTACTTTGCAAAATCCCGAGATTCCCTTTTAAGTGGAGAATTTACCCAAGCCACTCACACAAAGCATTTTTCAACTTCCATATAATTTATAAAGTCCTTGATAGAAACAGTTTCTTAAGCCCTATTTTTTCTCTCTGACATATTGTAAAATGTTTCCAAGCAAGAATAGCTTTTATACACTAAAACAAAATCTTTCTGGAAAATGAGAAAACAATTTGTAATGCCTAGTTCTGGATGAGAAAAATACACCAAGAAGACACTATCACTCTGTAAAACTGGCCTGGCGAAGCAGGACCCAACCCGCTGTGGCATGGAGAAGCATCTGTACCTTGCTCCTCTCCTTTATTTACTCTTTTTTCTTTCTTTCAGGAAGCCAGTTTTATTTCTAAGAGTGTCATAAACTTTTAGCGGGTACCAAGAATCGCCTGCCACACTCTCACCAGGTTGTCTATGTAGCCAGCCAGCAGAGTCTGGCCATCAGCAGAGCATGCTAGAAAGGTAGACTGGGGTGGCTCAGCCTTGCTGCTGGTTCTGATAACTTCATGCTTCAACGATCTTGTTCTCCAAGTCCGAGTTCTTGATACTGCGGCCAGGGGCAGCACAGAGCCAGTAGTGGTTGGAGCTAAAGCACAAGGCATTGGTGATGTCCCAGCCATCTAGCGTGCACGGCTGCATGGCTTCATTGAGATCCCTGGCCATCCTTGCCACAGAAGCACAGAGGGATCTGTCTGGAGAGACTGCCACTGTGTTCAGGCAGCCAGTGTGGCCAATGTGATCTTAAGCTTGCGGTGAGCCAAATTCCGTACCTTAGCCAGTTCGTACCATCCACGGGCGACAGCGACCAGGCTGCTGCCGTTCCAGAAGAATCGGACACAAGACAGCCATTCCAGAGCTCTCATCCTGGATGGCACACTTGCAGACACCCAGAGCATTCCATAACTTTACAGTCTCGTCTCGGGATCCAGAGACCACCTGCCCATCATCAGAGGAGAAGATCACACTCGGCACACCCGTGGTAGGCCTACAAATCGTCTCCTGGTGGTGCCAATTGTGAGATTCCCAGAGGTGCAGTGTTCCATTCCAGGAGCCGGAGAGGGCAGACTGACCATCAGAGGAGATAACATCACCAACAAAGTGGGAGTGGCCTCCCAGAGCTCGTGGTGGTCTGCTACAGTTGGTCAGCTTCCACATGGTGACGATCTGTATTACCCAGCCATTATGGCCCTTCAGGGTCCCACAAATGGTCACTTGCTCGTCATGACTACAGCTGATGCAAGTGTCGCCGTAGTGACAAGGATGGCACCAGATAGCTCAAACGGCCGAGCACCGCAGGCCGCCACCCCAGCCCTGCAAGGGGAAACAAACAGAAACAGCCCTCTTTCTTTCTTAGGGTCCCCCACTATCACAGAGGAGGCCGGGAAGGTAGAACACACAGCCCACTGCCCATGCACCAGGCAGCCAATTCTTCCCACCGCACAACTGGATAAGAATTTTTCTTTGAGAAAGAAGTGTTTCAGAAATCTTGAGCTCAAGTGGTCTCTATGGACAACAAAGAAATCACATGTAAAACCCTTTAACTAAAAATTTGTTGACTTTACCAATAATAATAATAGTAATAATAATAATAATAATAATAATAATAATAAGAAGAAGAAGAAGAAGAAGCAAGTATTTTATGGGTCATGTTCAAAATTGTTGGCCTATGGGCGGAGGACTGTCTCCATTTTCTAATTTTATTTATCTTTATTTCATTACTGGTGTTTTGCCTGCCTATATGTCTGTGTGAGGATGTCGGAGCCCCTAGGACTGGAGTTACAGTTGTGAGCTGCCACTTGGATGCTGGGACTTGAACCCTGGTCCTCTGGAAGAACAGCCAGTGCCCCTGTACTTGACAGCCAGCCAGGTTTACCAGCAGAGCCCCTTGGATCAAAGGGGAAGAAAAGTACATCTTATGCTGACTCATCCCCTCTCCCCTGTCCTTTCAGACCTAGACAGCAACTTGAAGGGAGAGGAGTCATAGCTCATCCCAACCCACAGTGCCAGATAAAGCAAGTGAAGCTCAAGGTCCAAGTTCCCAGCCGGGTTTGGAAAAAAGACAGGACTACCATTGTTGGGACTTTCTGTACTGCCCCTCTGCCAGTAAATGACAGGTGAGTCACAGAAACCACCCCCTCGGCCATACCCGCAACACCACCAGTACAGCTCTGGACCTTAGGGGTGTTGCTTGATGAAGCTCAACCCTACTATGGAAGTAGCCATCTTAGAAGAGGAGTTGACTAAGGCCTTGGGTCTTCCTGAATCTTCTGTAGAGTCATACTGAGTTGAGAGGTTTAGGAAGAGAGCCAGAGAAGCTGATCTTTAATTCTCCTCCCCACTTCAATACATGAAACTTTTGCATCTGCTTTATGCCTTTGGTTTTAGTTAAGCTTTTATCAGAACATTTATCATGGCTTATTTCTCCCTGCTTAACCTCTGCATCAAATGTGTCGTTGGCAATCCTCTTGGGTGTGGTGGATCTAGGCTGTTTTCTCTGCCTGAGTAGGCATTCGATGATTAGCCTTAACACCCTACCATGAGCACGCAGAGATCAGGAATAGGCTCTACTGTAGGGAAGTGTAGACTCCTTTCACTAGACATGGGGACAGGAAAAGCCATACAGCATCTAGCCCTTTCTCCTGGTAACTGAGAACTTGCCTCCTGTTGTCCTGCACAAACAGAATGAAGACAGTCTGTGTACCTGAGCCAGTGAGCCTGCAAGCAAACACGCCTGTTTTCCAGGACCTGAAAATAGTCTGTGTGTAGCCCGAGCCTACACAGGAGGCAGTGGCCTGGATTTTTTTTCCAGGGCAGTGTGGCAAGAGATGTTTCTGGACACCTTATTCCACTCCATTCCTACTAAGGGGGAAGGTCAAATTCTGGGTGGTTTTCCCCATCAGTGGAGGACAGATGACTCATCTTAGGAAACTGATCTCCACCACTGACTTACAAAGCTTTACATAGATACCGTTTCAGCTTCCCTGTTTCTGCACAAATGTAGTTGCCTCACATCCTTAAGAATCTCAATACAGCATACACAGAGAAATGTTTTAAATAAACTACCATGGGATATCTGAATCATTTCAGTTGTTTTGTTGAAATATAATTCTGCTACACACACACACACACACACACACACACACACACAAACAATTACAGGGCCATTAACATGACTTGTTGGCGTGCATGCACACACACACACACACACACATACACACACACACATACATACATACAGTAATTAAGCAAATAAATGTTTAGACAGTTAAAAAGTGATTTACAGGGCTGGAGAGATGGCTCAGAGGAAAAGAGCACTGCCTGCCTTTCCAAAGGTCCTGAGTTCAATTCCCAGCAACCACATGGTGGCTCACAACCATCTGTAATGAGCTCTTGTGCCGTCTTCTGGCATATAGGTGTGCATGCAGATAAAACATTGTATATGTAATAAATAAGTAAATCTTTTAAAAAAAAAGTGATTTACAGAGGAGCACTGTTGCTGTCAGTTGTAGTTTGTCCTGCAAGTTCATTTTGGTAATGGACAGTGTATCACAGAGACTTGTAACCTGTCAAACTCCCAGGAAAATGTGACAGCTGCTGTAGTGGTTGGACACAACACTTAGCCATGACGGAGGAAACAATTGGACATCTATACCACCCCTCTGAGGCTCGGGGTACATCACAGAGGAGGGGGCAGAAAGAATGTAAGAGTCCGAGGAAGGGGGTGAGCGTGTGACAATTCCCTCTCAGCTGAAAGTTTCGCTCTTGGAGAGAGAAAAGGGGCTCATCAGAAAGCAAACAAGAGCCACACTTCCTGGAAAGATGAGATTTAGAAGATTCACAGGACCCCTCCTCAAAACTGTAGACCAAGGAAGGACACTGGTGTAGAAGAGACTGTGACCCAGCTGAGCGGCCTGCGGGTGCAGCGAGCTCCAGTGATGCAGCTTTTGTGCATCCTCCCCCAGGCGGGGCTCGGCTTTTCTGCTTGTCGGCAATGCAGCTGCCTTGAGTCGTTCACGCTTCTGTAAGTAACGCTTTACTTGTGACCACATCAGTAGCCTCAGTGAACTCATTGGTTAGCTAAGTTAGACTTTTGTGGAACTGTCACTGTGGTCAGTTGCTGGTTCCTTATTTGGGGTGAGTAGATGTTTGTATGAATCCTCCCAAGATGTCACAAGACACCAGCACACTCCCCATGTGGCCTCTTTGTGACAAAGCCTTTAATATAGAGACCTTTTGGAGAAAGTTGACCAAATCACACTAGTATGAAAGATCCCTCTTGCACCATCTCATGTGACAAAATATGTTAATATTCTGAGTCTTAGTCGTTTTTCTACGGTTGTGTGTAAACACCGTGACCAAGGCAACTTATAAAAGAAAGCATTTAAATTGGGGCTGGGGGATGGAGAGGGATAGAGCCCATGACTGTCAGAGCTGGGGGCATGGCAGCAGGGGGGCAGACATGGAGCTGGAGCAGTAGCTCAGAGCCTATATATATAAACTTTTTTTATTGGCTCTTTGTGAATTTCACATCATGCACCCCAATCCCACTCATTCCCCACTCCCCTCTACCAGCCCTTCCCCCTTGCAAACCTTCCCCCAACAGAAAAAAAAAAATCTCATTGTGGAAGCTGTAGTGTGTCACAGTGTGTCCCACAGTACAGCCTTTTGTCCACACTTCTTCCCTTGCAAATGTTCATTGTAATGACTTGTTGGTTTGGTATGAGGCCTCTGGCCTCTGCTCCTCTATCAATCCTGGATCTTCACTGGGAGTCTTCTCAGAGATCCTGTTGTTGCCCTGTGTCATGGAGATCCTGTAGTTCTGGATCTGTAGGACCAGCCCCTTCACACTCTCCAGGAGTTCATAGATGGGGTAGATGTTGGGCTAGGCCAATTCAAAGCCCTGGATCTGGCCTGGGGGGTGTATGTGTTGGTCAGCCCATGGGCTTTCTTGTTCTCCCCCTCTCCCCAGCAACCCCAGCTACCGGAGTCAGGGCTATGCTGCTGCCCAGCCAAGGTGCAGGGCCTGCTCTCCCCAGTGTGCAGCAGGTGAGAAGCAGCGACAGCTGTACTGCTTTCATGACCCCAGGGCCAGCTCTCTTGCATGCTGGAGGTGGCAAGGGGCAAGGGTTGGGCAAGGTTGCTCCACACAGGAGACAAGTTGTGGGGCCAGCTCTCCCACGTTCATAACCTCTGGGCTGCTCACTGCACCCCCATAATCAGCGTCAGCTCTGCTGCACTGCCCAGGCAAGGTGTAGGGCCTGCTCTCCCCAGTGCCACAGCAGGTGGTGGATGGGGTCAGCTTTCCTGCTCTCACACCTCCTCCAACAAGACCACACCTCCTAATCCTTCCCAAGCAGGTCGCCAACTGGGGACCAATCACCAAGTATATGAGCCTATAGGGACCATTCTCATTCAAGCTATCACATTACTATATTGATTTTTTTGTTACATTATTAAAATATACTTCTAAAGCCCTATCCCCCCCCCTTTTTTTTGATTATGACAAGGCAATCTCTAACAGTCTTGGGCAGAGTAGAAAATGAATTCTGACAATAACCAGACTGGACTTGGAAGTGGAAACATCCTGAGCGGAACAAGCAATTAACAACAACAACAACAACAACAAAATCATAGACCAGGCATGGTGGTACTCACCTTTAACCCCAACACTGAGGAGGCTGAGGCAGGTGGATCTCCGTGAGTTCCAGGCCACCAGGGGATACAAAGTAAGAACCTGTATCAATTAAAAACACACATACATAATACATTCATACACACATACATACATACCTACACACATACATACATACATACTTACATATATACATAAAAATAAACATTGAATGCCTGCAGGGTATTTGAAACCTCCTAGAAAATCCTTCCTGATTTGGGTCCTTTATCCATTAAAAACTGAAAGGACACAAATGTTTATCGTGTAAGCTGTTATTATTTTTTTTTTGAAGTAAAAAAAATATGGGTTTGATACCTGAAAGTGTTTCTTTTTTAAAATAGGTTATTTGCAGTCTAGGGGGCAGAGATGGCAGCAGCCGTTGAACTCTCAGTGTTGGGATGGTTTCTTTCTGGTGACCATAGGTTTAGAGGACTAGACAACTTTGGGGGGGAAGAAAGTGGCCTTTTATTGAGTTATTATTTCCCAAATTCTGATCTTATAAGTAATGTATGTCAGCCATAGCTCAGCCAAAAATCAGATAGTAACCTTCAACTGGGTGAGTTGAAGTGAATTTGAAAATAATATTTTAACTGGGCTGGGGTATGTCGCTCTGATACTTAAGTACTTGGGAGGTGATTGCAAGGGGAGTGGGGACTCGGAGACATCCTCAGCTACATAGTAAGTGAGAGGCCAACCTGAGCTATTTGAGATGCTCACAAAGAAACTAATAAAAGACTATTTACAGTAATTCCTAGGGTGGAATCCCGAGGAACTGTGTGGTTTTCTCTGGTTTGTGGAGTGAGAGCTGCTGAGATCCTGAAAATCCAAAGAGAGGCTGGGGGAGGCAGCCCCGAAGTCACAGACACAGGGATAGACACATAAGCTGTCCTAGCTTGTCTCCCCAATTGCTGCTCCTGACCCTGGGTGACCCCAGCAGAAGCCAGAGGAGAATAACTCATCAGCTTGGTCCATACAGGTCCAGGGCACACTGCAGGGCACAGAAGGGTGGAGAACATTTGGGAGCAAAAAGATACTACACTCATCCTCATTATATTCCCTCCTAGAAGCTTCTCTTTTTAAACTTACCCTAAAACAAACAAACAAACAAGCAAACAAACCTCACATAAATGAGCTTTGAAGAAAACTGCTGACTTTTGGTTTGCTCTGTGACAAAGACAGGGAGAATGATGTAAACCATAGGGTGTGGTTACATCACTTGGGCCAGGTCAGGCAGAGGGCAGAAGCCAGGGCCTTGGCCTTTCAAAGCTATGGCAACGCAAGCCACAGGACAGGCGACATGAGATGATCGGACACTCACCCACAAGCTCCGTCCTCTGCCTGCCACAGCCCGTGGAGACTAGCGAGTGGGAAGAATCCACATATTCCCCAGGAAGCAGGCCTGCAGGCCTGCAGCTTCCTTCCCTTTTAAAACCTCAAACCACGTTTCCTTTTACACCCTCTCATGACCACCTGGTGTCTAGCGCACTTCCCCGGGGCTGACCTCAGCCGGCTTGGGGATTCATCTAGCTGATGTTCTTATGGTTGTGACTCGGTGAACGGTGACCACCCTGGAGACCCTGCTTAGCTAATCTTCCTTAGCTCTCCCGGATGCTTGCTGCTCCTTCTTCCAAGTTCGGATAAATCGTATCATGCTTCTGTGATAAGAAGATGAAATCATATGTCGATACTCTGCTGAGACTACGTGCTGTCTTTGGGGAACGGCCTGTGTTTCTTCGCAGACGGCATCTTGTTTTAAAGCATGGCTCGATATACCCACGTGTTATTGTGTGTTCCATCAGAGAGGTTAGGTCGTTTCCTTAAATGGGAAACCAGTTCCCTTATTGTAGACTAATCCTAGAAATAAATAAAATGAGAACATGGCCATGTTTGAAATTCCAAGTAGATGCTGTGGCCTCCTGGCCCCAGAGCTGCAGGCCCTCCTTTTCCCTAACTAAAAACAAAGGTTAGCAACCTTTGAGAGAGGTTTTCAAAACTCATCCATTGAGCTAGCAAGATGGCTTGGCGGGTAAAGGCACTTGATAGCAAGCCTAATGTCCTGAGTTCAATTCCCAGGACCCTCACAGTGGAAGGACTCCACTCCTCTAAGGTTTCCTCTGACCTCTGATGATCTCTCTCTCTCTCTCTCTCTCTCTCTCTCACACACACACACACACACACACACACACAAACAGAGAGAGAGAGACAGACAGACAGACAGAAAGAGAGGGAGACAGGGGTTGTTAAAAGAGATCCACATCTCCATCAGTGGGCTGGAAGAAAGACATGCAAAGCTTTCTTACTATGAGAGTTCCTACCACAGTGGTAGATCTGAGTGCTTCCTAAAACCAGGCACATAGCCTTCTTTTTGAGAAACTTGGGTTTAAGCAGCTGGGGTGTCTGTAGGGTT